TACTGTTAAAAAGGCAGTGAAAACAGAGATCACAATTCCCACCTCACCACTAATACTGAGAGAAGACTGGGACACAGAGATCGCTGTAGGCAAAGGTTATTTTGGACTGTTGTTTTCAGTGACACTTTGAGCAACGCTTTCACTGTTAGTTCACTGGCAGAGACCGAAATGGAAAAAATGTCCCTTGCTAGCGAGCGGCTGGGAGACGCGACACAGTTTCCAGGCGGAGGAACCGAAAGAATGTGCAAGGGATAAAAGAGGCAAATCTTGGGCCTTTGGTTTTCCTAGACCACCGCTTCGGAGGAAAATACACCATCAGAATGAAAGCAATTAGATGACATTTGAACTTCCTGCCGAAGCAAATTTGGGCTGATTGCGAAAAGTACAGAAAATTGACTTCTCAGTAACGCCAAGGCAGCGCCCGTGACCGGAGTGCGGCAGCGAGCCTCAATCGGGACCGGGATCGGTACCGGGACCGGTACCGAGGGCGCGCTGGAGCCGCCGGACCCAGGGCCGGTCCCTCCAGCCAGCATCCCCACCTCCCGGGTCACAGAGGCTGAGGTGACGGCCAAGTGTCCTGTTTGCAGGTCCGCCTGCAGCCCACCCAGGCCCTTCGTTCTGCCCACGTTCCGAGACGCGCTCCAGGGAGCTCAGCGCCCTGCCCGTGCCGGGGAATCGCCAGGGGTTTCCCGAATTAAACAGCGAAACCACCTTCCGACCCTCGGAGAGGAAAGAACCCAGGGACCGAACCCCTCCGGCCCTGTTTGGCTGCCTTTGTGGCCCCGGCTCCCCCCATTTCTCACCTTGGTCTGTGATGGACCGGATCCCCAGGATGTCCGTCACCGAGTGAGAGGACGGCCACGTCCTGGGCATGGCCATGGTGCTGGGGATCGCCGGCACCCCGGGAGGGGTGGACACCTTGGCTCCTGCAGCAGCGATGGGGCTGGGGTAGGGGTAGATGTGGTTGTAGGACAGAGCAGGCTGTGGGGGCGGCTGGTGCTGCTTGTAAGACTCGTAGTGACTCTGCTGAGACAGGTTCCCGATTTTGTTCCGGAGGATGCGGCTGATGGAGCTGACCGACGGCACGTTGTACTTGTCACACACGCCGTCGGCCAGCAGGCGATCCCGGATCTCCCAGGCGAAGATGCCCGGATCCCTTTGTTTGTAGGTCCGGATATGTTTTACCACCGTGGGGGTGGTGACCCGGGGCTTGCTGCCGCCGATAGCCCCCGGTAGGATGGAGCCGGTCTCGTTGTAGCGAGCCAGGATTTTGCTGACACAGCCGTGGGAAACGCGGAGCTGCCGGCTGATGTCGCACGGCCTGATACCCAGTTGCGCCAGTTCCACAATCCGCAGCCTGATGGCATTGGGCAGGGGTCTCCCGTTGACAAACACCCCCCCGAGCTGGTTCACTTCCCCGAAGGCAGGTTCTGCAAACAAATGCACAAACACAGCCGTCGGACACGGCGGACGGCACAGAAAGGGGCGTCTGAGCTGCTCCTCATCACAGACAGATGTCACAGACAGGGACCCCCCCCTCCCCGGTCACTCCACGCACTTCTCTATAATAGCGGGATGACCCCGAGACTGAAGGAAGCAAGGGGAAGGGAGGAAGAGAAGTGAGAGGTTAAAAAAATGGAAAAAAAAAAAAAAAGAGAGAGAAAGAAAGAAAAAAGAAAAGACAGAAAGAAAGATAATCTGTTGCAACAAATGTCGGAGCTCTCCGGACTGTGCATCAAGCATATTCCCAAAAATAAGCACATTCCAGAGATGAAAAATGAGATCGCCCCAACAGACAAGTCAGCTTTATTGCCACAGGAAAAAGGAACGCGAAGAAAACAAAAAGAAAAGAAAAACATCGTCTAAGACGTGGGGGAGGGGGAGGAAGGAAAAGTAGTTGAGGAAATTCTTTTACATCTTAGGAGAGACGAGGGCAGCGCGGTGCTTCTGAGTCGGGACTAACTTTTTAAAGACCGTTCCTGGTGCTGTTAGCGCCTTTCGCTTAACAGCACGATTACACTGGGCTGTAAAACAAGCGTGTTAAAATGTTAACTGCTACGATCGGTGTCAGGAATAATATACAACGTGTCACGGGCTCCAGCCATCCGCTCGTCTGCGATCCTGCCTTGCACTCGCCTAATAACACTAATAACAGGCCGACTAGTCATTAGCTCGCTCTCTCTCTCTCCCCTGCTCCTGACCCTCAACATGTTCGTACAACTTGTAGGAACACGAGCAAAGTCAATAAGGGAGCCGCGGCGGTGGCAGATGAGTGCGCACGGGTGCTCCCCCTCTCTTGACAGCACTTGAACCCTCCTGCGGCTCCCGGCCACTTACCCATTCCTCTGAGCGGGACACCTCGAGGCCGGCCCTAAATCCCAGCGGATCCCTATGCCCGGGAACCGGCTCCGGGCCTCCTGCGCTCCTGGCCGCACTGGCCCCGAGCCTCTCTGCTCTCCGCTGAGGAAGGAACGGTAGCGTGAGGAAGAAAAGAACTACAAGGAAATCCACATCCCGACAAGAGAGCCTTGACTTCTGCATTTC